GTGCTCATGTACTGGTGTTTGTGCTCTCGGGCACTGAGCTTGCAACCTTTGACACGTGTTACTGTCTTGCACCCCAGAGTGAACCCTCGGGCCATCAGGAATATGCACGTCACCCTGAACGTCTGTTAAATGTGTGACACTGAACTGTCAGGATTGTACTGGTCAGTTCTGCCCTCATTTCCCAACTTTGGTGCAGTCTCCACGATACCTTTCAAAGGAGAAGGTAAACTCTGGAGGGAGCCTCATGGCTCTGGGGAAGGGTCTGCAGAGCATGTCTGGCACAGCAGACCCCTTCCTAAAACGTGCAGGGGTTCCTTATTGCCTCGCAGCCAAACCAAAGATACAGCTTGGAAATTCATGCTTGGGATTTGCTACTCCATCGGCTTCTTGTGCTTTTGGTCTACAGGGAGTGGCCTGTCTGCTTTTCACGAGCACAGAATCCGAGCGATCCTGTGTGCGGCAGGCAGAGCGGGGCGGTGGCGTTGCCAGGGCTGCAGTGTTTGCCTGGTGCTCGTGCCAGCCCAGGCCTTGGTCTTGCACCGCTCACCCCTGTGCTCTCCGAGCCCCAGGACTTCAGCAGTTCCGAGGCCTTGGCGTGTCTGCAGGCAGAGCGCGGCCGCCGCGGGGGCCATGAGAGGGACCCGGCACTGCTACAGGGGGAACCGGGAGATCCGAGGATGTTCTGTTCTCACTGTTCTCTCTCTCTGCAGCTGATAACTCCAAGGACTTGGCCACAGAGCTGGTGCACTACGGATTCATCCACGAGGTGAGGCCCTGCGTGCCGCAGCCTGCAGGTACAGGCGGCCTCGGCGTCTCTGCGACGGGGAGGCCACAGAGCTGCCACCGGCAGGACGCTTGGGCCACCTGCCGCCCCCCACAGAAACGTCCCCAACAGCCAGCGCTGCACAGGCCGCTAAGTCGCTTTGCAAAGTTCAGCCCCCAGGAGAGACCCTGCCCCAGCGCCGCTGCCCAGGTGGAACAGTCCCAAGAAACGGTGTGGGACAGACGGGCATGGTGACGGTGCCGCGTGGCACCGAGACGCTGCGGTGCCTCCTCCTCCCCTCTGGACAATGAGCAACGTTTGGGCAATGCAGTGCTGTAAAACACACCACACAAGCCTGCGTTCCACAGACTCGAGATTACCTCTCGTGTTCTTCCTCCTCAGCGTGACCTCTGCTTAATGCACCTGCCTTCTCCAACACCTTCTCCATTCCACAGGCACCAGCTGCCTTCTTTCTGAGGCAGTTCATGAAACTCTGGGCACGTCCTGAGCTTGTGTTTAAGCTTGGGAGCGTCCCGCCTGTTTCTGATCGGAAGGACTTGTGCACCCAAATGCTTGTCTGGTTTTCTACCTGCAGTGGTTGATCTGACAGTGTATCACCTATAGCTTACACATCTTGTCTGCTTATTTTTTCCTAAAATATAAGTAGCATTGGGTAGGCAATTTAGCAGTAGTAGTGACAACAGGGTGCCTCTGAGCAGCAGCAAAACACCCTTCTCTCCTTTTTTTTTTATTTGAGAAGTTGGTCTCTGGCAATTCCAGAAATCCTGTGTGATACAAGGTGAGGCTGATTTGCCCCCTTCACATACCATTATGCACTTGAATGCTTCTTTCTTAGGGAAAAGACTAGCAATTATGCTAGGAACCACCTGCTCCTGAATCTGTAAGAGATTTCATAGAAAATAGTTGCCACGTCAACGAAAAAAATGTTAATTTTCCTTTTCAGTAGCAACGAGGATATTGTAGAACAGCTACCCATAGAAAATGATCTTAAAACCAGTGATAAATTAGTTGAGCTTAAATTACAGAAAAGCTGAACATGTTTTGTTGTTTTGGACTGCTTTGGTGTGTATCCAGCACCTGACGCAGTTGAGCTCCAGGCCTGCCTGGTCATGGGACGTTGCTCAGTAAATGCAGTAATTAACAGCAGTGTGTTCCAGCAGGGTGTATTGCTCCCGTGTCAGAACCCAGGCATGAAACGTGATGCTGTGGGGTGGGATCACATAAGGAAAGAGCAGAGACACCCAAAGTACCAAAGCCGAATTAATCCTCCTCTTTTATTCCTTTCTTTCCTGCTAGGATGACTGCGAGAAGCTGGCTGCCTTCCTGGAAAATGCTTTCCACAAATACCAGTCCCGGCCCTTGTGAGCCACCCTCCTGCTGCCCGGGCGAGCGGCCCATGGTGCTGGGGACGGGACGGAGCCGGACGAGGGACCCAACGTCTCCCAGCAGGACTGGCGGCCGCTCGCTGCCCGCCGGCCTCGCGGGGACGCGAGGGGACACCAGCGAGTGCAGGAGCCATCCCCGAGCACGAGGAACGGCCGTGCACCGGGAGGAACGGGCTGAGCCGACGCCGTCCCACGGCCCCCGCGGCCGCATGGAGCGTCATGGGCGGCCTCCTGCAGCCCCTGCTGTTGTGGGGACGGCGAGGCTGCCCTGAGAGCCCCCACGCTGATGAATTTGCCCCTGGGAATGACGAGCTCTTTCACTGCGGGTCCCAAAGCTGTTTTTCCTCCTTGCTGGTAACGCTTGCAGAAGGGAGAAGGGAGCTGGCTTGGAACTGGTTCTGCTCTTCATACTCAACTCCTCCCGTTCTGCTAAGGTTCCCCCACACAGATGACCCCCCGTGATGCTTTGTAATTTAGAACTGCACATCGTGGTGTGAGCTGGGGAGGGGACTTGTGAGCTGGACTTGATGTGGGAAGAAATTCAAAAATCCAAACCCATCCGCTGCGTCCTAACGTACGGATCGGCAGGACACTGGTGCTGAACAGAACTCCCATCATTCCCCGTCTGTCTTACGGCCTTCCAAAATCTCATGGCATCTTATGGAAAAGCCTTGGTGTCCCTTCCTTGCCCGTTTCTCTTCTGGTATTCGGAACTTCAGTCACCAGCCTGGAGAAAGGGGCAGCCCTAGTTGGTTCTGCTGGTGCAAACGCAAATAGGAATCACCCGTGCAGCGAAAGCTGCGCCGCTGCTGCGGGCTGCACGCGTCGTGCCGCGGACTGCGGGCTGTGTCGTGCTGCTGCCCTGTGCTGTGCTGCACTGCGCTATGCTGTGCTGAATTGTGCTGTGCCGTGCCGCGCTGCATTGTGCCGCGCTGCATCGAGCTGCACTGTGCCGTGCTGCACTGTGCTATGCTGCATTGTACCGTGCTGTGCTGCACTGCACTGCGATGTGCTGAATTGTGCTGTGCTGTGCCGGACTGCGGGCTGTGTCGTGCTGCTGCCCTGTGCTGTGCTGCACTGCGCTATGCTGTGCTGAATTGTGCTGTGCCGTGCCGCGCTGCATTGTGCCGCGCTGCATCGAGCTGCACTGTGCCGTGCTGCACTGTGCTATGCTGCATTGTACCGTGCTGTGCTGCACTGCACTGCGATGTGCTGAATTGTGCTGTGCTGTGCTGTGCTGCATTGTGCCGGGCTCCGTTGTGCTGCATTGTGCCGCGCTGTGCTGTGCTGCATTGTGCTGTGCTGCACTGTGCCGCGCCGCGCTGTGCTGCATTGCGCTGCATTGTGCCGCGCTGCGCTCAGTCGCAGCAGGTCGCTACCTGGGCTGGGGCTGCCCCGCGGGGCTGCCCGGCCGCGCGGCGCTTCCCGCTCGTGCTCGGCCGTGCCGACCTCCCAGACGCTGACAAATCAATAAAGTGACGAGTCCCACAGGGTCTGGTGCCAGTTCGGCCTGGCCGGATCCCGAACCCGCTCCATGTTGGCCCGGCCAAATCCTGATCCTATTCCATGTTGGAGCAGCTGGATCTGGATCTCGTTCCATGTCAGAGCAGCCGGATCCCGATCCAATTCCGTGTTGGAACAGCTGGATCCCGAGCCCATTCCGTGTCTGCCCAGCCAGATCCAGAACCCATTCCATGTTGGCCTGGCCGGATCCCGATCCCGTTCTGTGTTGGCCCAGCTGAATCCCAATCCCCTTCACTGTCAGAGTAGCTGGATCCCGAGCCTGTTCCAGGTCTGCCCGGCCGGATCCCGAACCCGCTCTGTGTCAGCCCGGCCAGATTCCGATCCCGTTCTGTGTCGGCCTGGCCGGATCCCGATCCCATTCTGTGTCAGCCCAGCCAAATCCCAATCCCCTTCCCTTGGAGTGGCCGGATCCTGAACTCGGTCCGTACTGGCCCAGCCAGATCCTGAACCCAGTCTGTATCGGCCTGGCCGGATCCGGAACCCGCTCCGTGTTGGCCTGGCCGAATCCTGATCCCGTTCCATGTCAGAGCGGCCGGATCCCCATCCTGTTGCATCTCGGAGTGTCTGGATCCTGAAGCCGTTCTGTGTCGGAGCGGTGCCCATGTTCCACCGGGATGCATGCGGGGCAGCCGCTGCCAAACCCAAGGCCAGGAGCGGGAACCAGGAGCGGAACGTCCGCCTGTTCCTTGGGATTTGGCCCCGGTCCCGGCACAGCGTGGGCAGCTCCTAGGAAAGCAGCGAGGCTTCACGTAGAGATCCATAGGGAGGAAGTTCATCGAGATTCATTAACAGGTGATGCTTTCCAGCAGTGAGCTGGAAAACAGAGTGTTTCAGGCTGGAAACAGCGTGCTTTAGGCTGGAAACAGGGCATTTTAGGCTGGAAACAAGGCATTTCAGGGTGGAAATGGGAATATTTTGGACTGGAAACGGGTATTATAGGTGTTTCAGGCTGGAAACAAGGCATTTGGAGCTAAAAACCAGGCATTTCTGGCTGGGAACAGTGTATTCCGAGAGAAAAATGGGGCATTTTAGGCTGGAAACGAGGTATTGCAGGCTGGAAACGAGGCATTTCAGGGTGGAAATGGGGGTACTTTAGGCTGGAAACGGGGCACTCCGAGCTGGAAACGGGTATCGACGTCCCAGCCCAGGTCCCGCACACCCCTCAAGCCCCGCCCGGAAGCGGAAGTAGCGTCGGGCTCCCGCCAAAGCCCGAAGCGCGCGAGGCTCCGGAAGTCTCGCGATAGAAGCGGCCGTCTCCCCCCCGGCCCGGGAGCGCGCA